GACACTCCGATTTCATTATATATATAGATATAGATATAGATAATATCAGTTAACAATAGTACTGATGAGAGTGCATTTCCACTGTCGAAAAACATGTCACAATTTTTTGATGGATGTTTGAATCTGATGTCTCTGATATGTAAAGAATATGGATCTGGATGTAATTTGAGCGATAGACGTTGCTATCGGTTGCTTCTGTCAGAAAATATGCAAAACGTACTATGAAATAGAAAATGGTATAAAAGCTATCATAATTTAGTTTCACTTATCGTCACATATCAGTAAAGTTTTTGGAGGAAAATCTTTATTACATCAATGATTTATTTGAATCTCTTTTGTTCTTACTGAATTGACAGATTTAATGGCAATCCGAGATACAGTAACTTGCGAACAAAGCGCATTTAAAGTCAAATACGTTATTCATTGCCGCTTTTGGATTAGGCTGTTTCAACTTTAGTCACTTATCCAGGTATGGATTCCACCCACTTTGTATTGTCACTTGACATACTTTGTATTGCATCCTGACTACAAAATAATACAGGTATCTTAATACTCTGGACTTAAAATATAAATGCTTTAGCCACGTATAGAAAGTGCATTGATTATACGTCTATAAATGTAAATTGTTGCGAATTGAAACGATTTGATAACTTCTTAACCATGTTTATTAATACAAGTTCAGACTTTACTAACCAACATAACCATAGCAAACTATTATATACCTATAACAATCAAAGAGTATCTTAAATCATAAAATCTGTCATAAATTAAAAAAAAACTTATTTTCAAAGGACATTTTACGTAACACTATTAGCTTTCGCCCGCGACTCCGTCCGCGTGGAATTAAAAAAATTGAGTATCCTATGTGTTCTTTATATCCTATGTATGCTACAAACTCTAACAAACATCCATCCATCTAAACTTTCGCATTTATAATATTAAGTAAGTATGAAGGTATGATTTTAACAATCAATCCTGATTACAATAATTTAAATTAGAATTTCCATCTATACTAATTACTAGCTGTTGCTCGCGACTTCGCCTGCGTGAAATTAAATAATAAAGCCTGTTACTCACTGACAACATAGCTTTTTATTGGTGAAAAAATTTTTGAACCAGTAGTTTTTGAGTTACATATGTCAATACATACAAAAATACAAATTTTCCTATTTGAAATATTAGTATAGATAAAGAGGGAATTTGTATTTTTTGTATGTATTGTAATAACACAAAAACTACTGGTCCGATTCCGAAAATTCTTTCACCATTAAAAGATTTTTAATTTCACGCCGACGAAGTCGCGACCTAGTAAATAAAACAAACGAAAATACATTTCTAGTTGTGATAATTTGACATTGACATTTAAAATTATTTGAACCATATTGAGAGAAATTCAGAATGCGTTGCTGTTTTGAAGCCATAAGTTTTTTTAAGTAGCAAAAAATATTAACAGTCTTGACAGTTATCCAATAAGTTTCCTAAGATCGCTTGTATTTATATATGTTTCTTTATTCAGTATCGCACCTGCGATTCTTTACATTTTTGGTGATTTTTATGACGGCTTTGACATTGTAGTAAAAGTGTACTATTTACGTCTCGCAAAAAATGTCACCATCGAATAAAAGTTACTTATTAAATTTTTGTGACCACTAAAAAAGAGACAATGACAATAAAAAAGACTTTGTAATGATAGAATTGTATTCAATGAATTTGTTAAGCTATTAAAATTCTTCAATGATTGCTCCGATCGTCGGCAATTTTCTTGTCACATGTCAAATACAACTTTATTCTTAAAAGAGGGATATTAGTACTTCTTTTAGTTATCTACATATTTATATCTATGCTGTTTCGACATATATGGTACAGATATTTCGTTTAGTACCGATGACAGTCATTTGTTTTACCGAAAGTTTTTTTATTAAATTACAATGTATTTCTTTAGATAAAACACTCAAAAAAGGTATTGCATTTTTTGGCATCTTTTGTCGCAATTTCACATTAAGATAAAGAACCGTATTTTGTTAATTAATGGTAAAATAGTTAAGAATTAAATAAATTTTTATACTAGAAGCATGGAATCACCGGAATTTGCCATAAAACGGAATCAAACGCTGCTCATACAGATCCACATTACATTGTTGTCTACTTTCAATTAACAGAGGTCGGGACGCACAGAAAGAGGACATTTCTCCTATCTTTGTGTCCCATACCTCGCATAGTTAGCATAAGTAGTGTTAGACAATATAATTGTAAGAACGTAATTAACTTAAAACACTCAGATCACTGTCCCGCCAGAATAGTGCGCTCTATTACGTCAGAATGACAGCTGTCATAGGGATGGGACGTCTATGCCGATGATCTAGGGTTGCGCCGATTTTCTTCCCAACAGTAGAGATGATATAATTTCGCATATTTCAGTTATAATTTGATCGTTAACAAGGAATAATTATATGCAATAAATCAATCATCTTAGATGACTGCAAATTCGTGAGATGAATATAAAACCCTAAACATTATAATAAACAGAAATAAAAATCATTGTTCCTTGGTGTTCATAAACTTCTGAATAGATTTAAGTAAAACTTTGGTATGACATTACCCTAACTTGGGTATCCACCGAGCCCCTCGGTAGGGACGTATAGTGATGATGATGTTCTGAGAAACTCGGATGAGGTTTTAGGTTAAAAATTAGGTAATATGGCATTACAACGTATATTAGGTTATGCTTGTAGCAAAATAATAATCCCACTGACAATTATTATAAATGCGTAAGTTTAGATAGATGGATGTTTGTTATAATTTGAGGTCTAAACGGCAGAATGGATCTCGATGAATTTTAGAACAGATCCAGAGAAAAGTCTGGAAGGACACCTAGGCTACTTAGTTTTTTAACACCACGCGGATAGAGTCACGGGCGAAAACTTTTATTGTATCTTCAGATACTTTACTAATATAAGAAAATGATAAGATACAAACAAATTACTATGTAAATTGCTTTACAGGTCCACAGTTTACGTGAATTAACCTAACCACTAAAACAACCATTTCTATTATTTATTAATACTGTAGAAAGAGGTTTGACGACGTATGTTTTATTAATTTGTTTCCGAGACTAGCTTTTACATTTGACCTTACTCGTCACTTAGAAAATTAAACAAAAACGTCGACATTTCAGTGAGATCAGATAAAAAATATTATTACCTAAAATTACTGCTATCTTGAAGTCATTTTTATTCTTTTAGTCAATTATTTACGGTAAATTCCGTACAATTATCAAAATATATCATGAATGTTGTTTTGTTTTATTAATAAATTGAACCATTAAATTGTAAAAATCGATTATCATAAAAAGAACAAACAAATCGATGATAAACTCGGTTATTCGGTTCGGGTCGCGACGTGAGCTAAAGTTCGTTAAATAATAAATTATTATCGATTAAAGTATGAAATGTGCTCTTTATCAAAAACCGGTGTTTTACGAAATAATAACTGTAATAAAATCGATTCAAGATCACTCATTGAATTTGTATTTAATAGTTATTGAGTTACGACAATCTACATTGGTTTATAATTAATTTATTATTTATAAAACACAATTAAAAGTTCATCGACACTTGTAAATTATACTAATCATCATAAAATTTAAGATACTGACGGCAGAATAGTAAAACGACATTTGAATATGTAACACCTTAAATAAAGCCACGTTTAAATTCTAAATTCATTTCTAATTTTGACATGTATCAGGTTGTAAGCGACGCTTACGAAGCGAAGTATTTAAGTTTCGTTTCAGGAACAATGGTCATTTTCACAAGGTATCGCTTAAAATATTCTTATATAGGTGTCTTTTAGATAAGTAACTTAAATCACTCTAAGACGTTGGTAAACATGAAATTCTCATTAAGAGCCCCATAAATGCTGCTTAAGAGACTCTTATATACATTTGTATAGTAAATAAATTAATCTGTACCTCTATATCTATACTTATATTATAAAGAAAAAAGGTTTGGATTTTTGTATGCATTTAAATAATTAAAAAACAACGAAGGATTTCAAAAATTATTTTACCATTAAAAAGGTACATTATTACTTAGTAACATAGGCTATGTTTTTTAAAAAATTTTAATTCCATGAGGAAGAATTCGAGCAATAGGTACCTGGTTTCTATGAAATAGAGAACGGGGAGAAGTAGATTGGAAAGAGAGTATGGGAAGGAAAAGAGAAATTTTCTATTCCAATCTATGAAAGTTAGATTTAGTTAGTGGTATATAATCTTATTAATGTCTTAACAAACTGTATGAAATATTACGCAACATTATATTAATGTTGCCATTTTACTTTTTAAATCCCAATCAATTAAGTATTAAAGTACATCTATACACAACAATCTCTATCTAATTTTTTTAATTGTTTCTAAATAATGTCAGTAATTAAAGATAAAAATTTATTTAATAGTGTAATAAGTATTTTTGACTGACAAAACTTTAAAAGAACCCTGTAATAACATTTACAGAACGCGAGCAGTCGCCAACAACTTCGTCTGTCTGAGGGACGCATTTTTATAAAACCACCAAATAAGTATACTAAATGAGGTGAAGCAATTTCGACAAGTTACAAAGAATTCTTCCGAATTAACAAAAAATGTGTATACGAACTCTCGTCCTCACTTCCTTTAGGGTACAAATTTAAAAAAGCTTTCCATAGTAGTAACAAATCACTAAACAAGACTTCAGCAATTAAGGCCAAGCGTTGATATAAGAAACGATTTTTTTTTTATATGGAAAAACTACATCTAAGTAAATAAAGTCGTTGAAATCTTTTTAATTGATAAACTTAATTTTTTACTAACGGCATATTTTCTTATTAGTTTCTTATTAGGCCTAGATTTTCTAATAAGCCAAATTTTAAATTATTTTATTGATTAAATATTACTTTTATTTCACTTTTAAATAACATTTATAAAAACTTATCGAATAATAATAAATAAAAGTTTAACTTACGGTATTTCCTTTAAATTAGACAACTGAACACCGCATCACTTTCTCACAAATTTATTTTTCGTTTTATTTACACCAAAATGTCACACAAAGATTGTTAATAAAAGCTTTAAACACTCGTCTTTAGCACTGTATTCTTGTTTTTTTTTTTCTAATACCAAGTTAGAAAAGTATTAGAAGTATATTTATGTTTAAAGAGTTGTCTTTGACATAACAGTGAAGGGGTAATCAAAATTATAACCGCCGATAAAGAGAACGGGACAGAATAATAGCAGATCAATTAACGATCTGTGAATTACGATTTCGCAATTACGTAGCACGTGGCATCATTTTTAAAATCGATTTTGTTTCGTACTCGCGTCGGATCTTATCGATTGTTAGCGATTTTTTTAAAACTTTCGTGTCACGTCACTGATGTCATTTTTGTAGTCACTTCAGTTTTATTTCTTCGATTGTATGATACGTAATTTAATCAATAGTCATGTTTTCGTTTACGGTAATCAAAAAATCACTCACGATCGGCGCTCGCTAAACGCGAACGATAACAGTCATCGAGGGCTTTCGAAAAAACGGAATCGTCACTGGCGGGAAAAAAAACCGAACACCGAACGCACACAAGCACAAAATACTGTCCAATTAAAGATAATGTTTGTGGATATTTTAATAGCGTTCCCCTCCGAAGAAATCCGACACAACCAACTCCCGTTGAATTTAAACACTTAATGATCGGTTGGAGGAAATTGTCCGAGAAACGAACGGCCCAGCAGTATCGCGTTCTCTTTCTGTTTAGTGATGATCTATGCCGCATGTATGAGGAGCACGGCGCTAGTGTCGACCGAGGGGCGCGGCTAGCTCTGTGGGGGCATGATCTATGGGCGGGATTCGTTTTCCATTGGTGTATTGCTATGGCGCGATTTTTTTCGTTCGTGGGTGCGGAGCGCGCGGGTTGGCACCGGGGGATCGATCGCCGGCGCCTGGGTTGCCATTATATTTTTTATGGGTATTTTTTGGCGTTGCACTGCGCTTCGGTAACCTGTTATAGAGACCACGCCCAGCCGGCTCGGTTGATACGTGCAGAGAGAAGAACAACGGCTATCAATCCAGACTCCGGCCGTAGGCTTTTCGAGTTTCTTTTTTTACGGAGTGTTTTTTTTAATCTGTCGTGACTGGTGCGTCTTCGATTTTTGTGTATGGTGTCAGTTTTCATTGTTAATAAAGGAAGTGGTATATATTGTACATGGTACATAATAGTAACTCAACAATGGGTACGTCAGTTGTATGCAAAGTTAGGTCATATACATAGAATATGTTTGTATCGCTGCAGTTCAACCAAGCGCTATTATGATTTTCTTTAAATCGCAAGGTACATATAGCTCAGTGGTGAAGTGCATAATGACGGTTGCAATACGATTCTCACCTCGATTACTTAGAAATATGTAGACTCTTTCTTAAAAAAATGATAGATATAGTAACTATAGTTTAAATTTGTTCATCTCCCAGTGTTGCATTTAATGTGTCTCGATGAAATCTTTAAGTCCGTTGGTAAATGTTGATTGTCTATCCATTTGTACAAAAGAGATAACAGAATTAATCAACATAAGACTTAAGTTATACCTGAGTATAGACTCAAGTTTTTTAATTTATTTTATTATGACTGTACAAATGAATTAAATGTAGTCGTAGATAATTTTAATAAACGTATAATTCAATAGTTTTATAATTCAAATGTAAAATATACCATAATATTGAAAACTACTATTATAAAGAAATAATTAACTGACATATACGTATACTTGAAAATACAATTTAATACATAATTTGAAAAAACCTAACCTGTAACAAAAAAAACTTGCATATTTTTACAGTAGGTATATATTTAAATTGTCACTATCTTTAATACCTACAATTAGTATTTCCATTTTTTATCTGTGTTAATTATCTACCATGTTTTTTAATAGTTCACAATCAAAAATATAAAATTGCAATAACAAATATTTGTTAAGCGAATTAAATGTATTATATTTTTTTATAGTATTTGTCGTGTTTATTCTAAACCATTATCCATCCCTTCTTCCTTCTTTCTAATCAACACTATTTGTCGCCAGTAACTTTTTGAGCGAATTATTAAAAAAAAAAATAGTTGCCTATGTGTTCTTCTATGTTCTACATCTATGCCATAATTCTACGAATATGTAGTAAGAAGCATCTATCCATCTAAACTTTCGCATTTATAATTTTTATAAGAATAAAGATTAGATTATTATTAATTAAGATTTGATTTAAAAATGGAGAAAAATCCGGTAGTCTATACTAATGTTATAAAGAGGAAAGATTTGTATTTTTGTTTGTATTGAAATAACTCAAAAACTACTGGACCAATTTAAAAAAAATACCATTAAAAAGCTACGTTATTAACATAGGCTACATTTTTATTATTTTTCAATTTCACACAAGCAAAGTCGAGAGCAACTAGTATACCTAATATAAATTGTGTAGTCAAATGAGGTTATAATAGGTAATTGTTTAAACTACGAACCCTAGAACTCAATTATGCAAGTAAAGTAAATGTCTTCTATGAAATTCAGTGCGTTGACCAATTCCACAAGATCTCCGATTTTATTTACAATATCGCTAGTAAAATGAAAACGTATGCAAATCAAGCATCAGTCATTATCCTGATCCATCAGTTTTTTTACTTATCTACTAGACACGGCCTAATAACTTGAAACTTCATATAAATATCATTATTTCCCCTACATTATCCTACTCCCATAGGGTTAGCGACCGGGTTTTCGTCCTCCTCATAACTCTATCATCCGTCATCTCAGTCACTCCCTTCTTGATCATGTCACCTTTGACGCAATCCATCCGTCTCTTTCTACTGCTGTACATCATACTAATATTATAAATGCGAATGTTTAGATGGATGGATATTTGTTAAAGTTTATAGCCTAAACGGTTTTCAATGAAATTTGGTATTGATATAGAGGATAGTCTTGAAGACAACATAGCACTTTTTTTTAATTTTACGCATACGGAGTCGCGGGCGAAAGCTAGTACGAGTATAAATATGTAACAGCGTCTTAAATAAAGCCACGCATAAACTCCAATTTTTTTTAAATTTTGAAGTCTACCGGATTATAAATTTGTATATCTTCACAAATTTATACAGATTTAAGATTATTCAAAAGACGAGGTAACTCTTTTCTGGATTTTCGAAATTATAGAAATGGCGACATTCACCCGTGCACTGAAATATTGCAGTATTATATAACATTGTTGGTTTCCTAAATATACCAACTTCCATATGATTCTTGTAGGTCTATAGTTTAAAGATGTTGATAGCATACTTCAATTGACAGCTGTTGACCTATAGGAGACGGTTACGATTAATCAATAAACAATTACAAGCACCCTCTACATATGACATTAAATACCACTAACTTATGTCAATCAACGTTATATTAACTAGTTAACCGGTTATTTTATAACGCTATAAAATAACACTGGCCGTAATTACATTTTCTTTTTAATGCAACGATCCGTTTTATAACCTTTTTTGTAGAAGCACTAAAGAACGTTATTTAACATAGAAAAAATGTTTTCCTTCTTCCTGTCCTATGTAATACAACTGTAAGCACGTACGCTAATTTTGAGGTTATCTAGAACAAACAGACGGATAAATTTTAGAATTGTAATAACCATTTTTTTAATATGTCATCTGCATTTAAAATCATAAATACTACAGGCGTCTTTTACTATAGTTTACACAGATATTTATCTATTTGTCAGTACGTAAACAGGATATTGGAAACTGATACTTCAAGCTCAGGACAAAGAAACTAGAAGATTAAAACAATTGAAACAATTATCATGTACAAATTGTTTTGTCAACGAAGAAGTACGTATCATACAGCCAGACCAGAAATATAAAAAATTTTGCCTTACGGAAAACCATGGAAATCTTTGCCTTTCGTAAATTTTAAATTTATGTGATAGAGAAGTCGATTGTAGAACTCCCAGGCCACTGGCACGCGTGCCATAAATGGCACATGACATAATATTTTGAGTACACTACGAAAAAATTTGGAAGTAGATGCACCATGGAATTGATGTAATAATCGCAGTCAATATTTGATGGTACGTCTAAGACTGCGTTAAACATTTCTTTAAATGGCACTTTGATGCATAAATGTACACCCCTGGACTATACTAATGCTTAGAATTTTACAATCAGAAACTGCTTTAGTTCATTGACCTATACTAATATAACAAAGAGGAAAACTTTGTTTGATTGTAATGAATTGGCTCAAAACTACTGGTCCAATTTTAAAAATTCCTTCACAGATAGAAAGGTAATTTATCTGTGTGTAATATAGGCTATATAATGTTTTTTTTTTTAATTCCGCGCGGACGGAGTCACGAGCGAAAGCTAGTCTAATATAACCTTTTAAATGTTACACAGGTGTAAGTTGAATGTGGCACTGTAAAAAGTCTTTAGTCGTTTTATTGTTACTTTTTAATTATTCATTTGATAGCTTTTGTATTGTGTAACTGTCGCATAAAGCCTTTGTCGTAAATGTGTTCTCACTGACGAAACATGTTTAGTATTTCGTTTAGAAATAAAGAAAAATGTTTTTCATAACTAGAAATTTGATATTTACTATAAATTACTTTTAAAAACGAAATACTTGACACACACGAAGTGGAATTTAATTTTTTAATGGAAATATAAATTACTTTTATTGTATGTTTTGAATATTAAGAAATAACATGTATATTTGATAATAGTTAGCAAAATTCATTACTGCATTAAATTTTTAATGCACCAACCTCTAACTGGCTATTCCTCATAAAATGCATTTTAATTCACAGAACCAATCAACCTATCTCTGTGTCTATAACATTTCCTGAATTATTTAAACAAAATTACACAAACGTTCAATCTGTGAGTGGTATATTCTTCTGATACAGTTTCGTATTCTAGCCTAGTGTCTGATTGAACGTTTCAAAACCTAACATTTTGGATCTATCTAGTAAGTAAATATTACATAAGTACGATGCAATTCCGCGTTTTGTCTGATGAGTGTGGTGCCGGAGGCCTAATTTTAGTCCCTTTCCCTTTCCACCCTTTTCTTAAGAGAAATGATGGGATGGAAAAGTGGATTTGACGGTGTAGGTGACGCATAGGAAGGAGAAATATCCTCTTTACGTGCGTCTCCTCCGTCAATGAAGGGTAGGCGACGCATCTGCAATTGCGGATGTTTATGGACAGCGGTCGCTTTCCATTTCGGTGGATTCAGGTGGCCGCTTGCTCGTTTGCCACTTTGTGTTATAAAAAAAAAGTATTTTGTCTATGGGAAAACTGTAAATATGTATCAAGAATAGAACATTTTGTGTAATTTTGTTACCGAAAACATTAACCTTCGTTATGTAATTAAGAATTTAATTTTTTACTAAATAAATGATATTTTTCTTTGACCTATTTCACTTGTATAATTAATCAGAAAAGCTATGTAGGTGTTGAGCAACAGTACAAAAAAAATTTCGTAATATACTACAAGTATAACATAACACGATTTTTTAAATACTTAACACCTCATTAAGTAGAATTAACACTTACATTTTGATACTAAAAATAAATATTCATGTCAACCAAATTGGGTAAGAACACCAACTAAATGATTCAGACAGTATAAAAAACAAAATTCACATAATTATGATTAATTAAAAAACACCT